TTAATTTGCTCGACTTTCCTGCTGGTGTCGTTCCTGTGGGGAAAGTCACCGTAAAAGACGACGAAGATTTGGTTAACGAATCAACGTATCCTGTTGGTAGGTCCACTCTCGCTTTCATGGTACGGTCAGTGCTTCGTGGTATCAAAGCACTGAAGTCAACTGTTCAGGACATAACGTTGCGTTGCGGATTATTCGAGACTCATCAATCAATAGTGTTGGTTTGCCTCTTTCTGTTCAAATTGTAACTCTTCCATTTGAAGAGGAAAAATGCCTTCGCGTCATGAGGGACGTTCAAGGAGTCTGGAGTGATGACTATCTTTCCAAGGAAGGAACTCTGTCTGATAATTAGATTGCAAATCAGAATTTTCGATCTGTGAGCACTTCTCTAATTACCCATTACTTTTGCTTCCCATGTTGTTGTTATCAATTTGCATTTAAAATCTGTCGTTGCTCGTACCGGAAAATGCAGCGTCCTGGCCTTTGTGATATGCTCTGAAAGTCGTGTTATTGTACACTATTACAAATGTAGCATCGTGTTGGTACTCAATGTATATTGTAATAGTGTTACAGTGTTTGTTTCCAGAAGTCTGTGGAGTTGCACGACGAGAAAATCCTGCTCTTTGCTTAAGCAAAACAGGAGAGTTGTTGTGGGTGTGTGAAGTTTCAGGCTGTTTGCAGCTGTGTATGTGTGCTCAATCGGAATGAACCTCATCAAACACGAAAAGAAACTAGGAGGTGGTGACATAGGCGGCCAATTCCCATTCCACTTATCTCGCGCCATCATATACGGCGGTTCAATCATTGTAGAAGATGAAAGAGGGTCAGCACATATTTATAGTCATGTGGGTTTCTCCTCAATATTTTGTGATATCTAAACCCACATTAGACGTTTACTTGAAATCCGGCGATATCTAACTTGCGGAAGACATTTACATAAAATCCGATTTTCTCTGGTTAAATGGTTTTCCATTAAAGGGTGGCTATGGTTACTACATCGATGAACGGGAAGATCGCACCAATGCCGAGCTTTTTCCGAGTGTTTCTACTGAGGGAAGTTCTGTTGAATCAGCGTCTATCGAAGCACGGCAGCAATGGAGTGGTTAGAAATACCAATCGATTAAGATTTCTCGAATTACCTTGATCTTTATGAGGTGAATTTAGAAAAGTTGCCTGTTTACGACCGACTGCGACTTAGCCCTGAGGAAACTGTGTATTTGTCAATAGACGTCAACGTATTGGAAGTGTTCGAAAAACAGAAGATTTTAACACAGAGTTTGAGGAATTTATTACTGTTTGGCTACACAATGACACAGAAACAGGTCACGATTCTTTTCATGTCTTGATAATAATTCGCAAATTCTAGAAGAGCTGTGGTTGCGTATGAAGGATTTTGGAGGCACCAGGTTTCTCAAGAGGTACGTAGCGTATCGTTATCTACGTCGTAGCGGATGGTGTGTCCGCTGTGGTCTGCCATACGGATGTGACTACTGTAGGGATTTTCACTTTTTTTACTCTTTTGTGAAGGCATTCGGAACTCTTGGAGACTGCTGGAATTTTGGGAATTCAAGCTTATTTTTCACATGTTGTGATTCTGAATTTCTTGAACTATTTTCCAGTGATCTATCGCGGTAGTCCTGGTTCACATCATGCTGCAGCTGGTGTTAAGATAGAGTCTCATATGGAACCTTGTATGTTTGTTGGTTTAAACCGCGTTCTAACTAATATGAAAAAGGTATAAATGTCATGCTCCACTGTTTGTCCGTTCTTCAAAATTTTATTCATGATTCAGGCGCTCATAGTATTAACTGTGGTCGTACCAGATGAGTTAGACGAAACAAACCCGTTTTGTGCCGATTCAGTACACATTTCTGTAAGGATATTTCTTACGCTGCTCAGTTTTCAAAAATACTTCACCTCATCTTTCTACTTTGAATTTGTTTTATTCTATGTTTCCCTTAATGCGATCGCAACGAAATGGGTCACTTTCCATTCAGATTTTTCATGATTGTTTATTTCACCGTATAGTGTTTTGCAGATACTTGGTTGGATAACCCTTCCTCACTGGTTGTGCGGGCCCCGCATAATCTCCAATGTTTTGGAGATTTGCTGGTTAAGCCATTGTGATTCCCTGAAATTCCGAGGTTAGCCAGGCCCTAGGTCGTCTGCACCACAGGCAGTGGACACCTTTGTGGATCAGAGGGAGATTTGCCACCATGCGACTAGTTTGATGCCAGGACGGTGGTGGATCCTGGTATTGGTTTACTCTTAGCTGAGCTTCCTGGTGGAAACGCCGGACACCTTTTCAGCTTGGGAGACCCAGCTGGGCAGATGAATCACCTCGCTGTACATAGCAGCCCGACACCTAGGAACACCTTCCAGCCACGATGAGGCGGCAAACCGTTGGGAGGGGTGTACTAGATATCAACCAAAAAAAGCTATTCTGAAACATAGTTTGCGGAGAGCGGTTTTTCGTCCCATTTTTGTTTGTTCCTCGGAGAGACTACTGCTAATAACTCCAATATCCCCATGCGGGGACACCAAATGCGCGCTTTTCAATGTGCTCCGAGACATTGGATTCTTGGGGACATAAGAATTCATGGAACAACATTACTCTTCGTCAAGGGTGTACTAAGATTAGTCCTTTTCGCTGGTCCATTGAGTGTGGTGATTCGTTTCATCTTTTGCAGATGTCTACTTCAATGACAATGTTCGCTGACCGAAAGATGAATGACATAAAAGCGCGGGAATCTGCTAAGTTAACGTTCGACATTCCCAAGGAACATTGAATTTCATTTCCACTTTTCATCATTGTGGAAGTAATGAATTAATAGACTTTGCATATTGGATGGTTTCTATAATAAAAATTTCGTAAGTGATCCTTCGTGTTTTTTTCTTTTTTTTCCGGTCCTTATAGTACTAATCGTCTTAGTTATCGTACCGAATCGGTGGATATAGAATATGCAGAGCATGAAAGAATAAAGCTTTCGGCGTTGATCAGTCTCTGAGAGTGCGCCATGCATTCGACTTCGTTAAGCAGCGCTGGAGGTGATTGAATGCACATCTGGCCTTTATACCATCTGGACTCGAAGTGGCCCACCGATTTATCCAGCCAGTGCTGCTACTCTTCCGGACAAGTCTGGTATCAATTTGCCGACCGCTGAGGGATGGAAGGTTTGGTGAACTTTCGGCGCGGAGGTCGAATCCATGTGTATCGCAGGGCGCCTTCGACCATTGCGCCGTACAAACGTTACTGTCAGCATTTGGAAGATTTTTTATACCCGTGCATTCCACACAGTAAGTACTTCAACACCGATTGAGAAGAAGATAACAGATTGCTCGTGAAATTACCGGCGGATGAACTCGTTCAGGAACAAGTTTTTTGTACACCTCCAGCAAAATGGAGCTTTTGGCGCCCAATTATTCCCACCATATCATGTCTTGAATAGGATACCGATTGACTATCCAATCACCTGTATCGCCTGTAGTCCCGTTGATCATCGAGTGACTCGAGCGGGCGCCAGTAAATCTTTTACTTTTCCTGTCGCCCGCAAGAGTAGCCCAGTGGATTCCGCTCGCTCTAGGGACTCGTCGAGCATCATATCCTTTTTCTTGGCTCTATCAACTCTTCACTCGAGCCATCTAGAGCAAGATTAGAAGAACACTAAACAGAAAACAGCTATATGAACAAGCTGGGTACCGGAAACGATTCAGTACGATGTCAAATTCACACGATGACGAAACTCAGTGAAGTGTCGCCAGAGCGCAACAGCCCGCTCTGTCTCAATTTCATCGACTTAAAGAGGAATTTGGGTTCAGCTCGGAAACGAACACGGAAGCTCTCGGTAACCAGGACGTCGTTTCTCAGTGTATAGAGATTCTTTATGAGATATATCAATATTTCGCAGCAAAAATATTCTATAGTGATATTAAAGCTAATGTGGGCAAAGAGCATTGATAGGGCGCTTACAGAAGTTATACAGCCACGCTCTATAAATCAGACAAAATTGTTAATGGGACAACATGGGGCCGAGAGTTAAGGGTCCGCGATAGCATCATCAACGCTTTGCTGGTGATACCGCCCATAGAACAGGAAGCATTAGCCAACCGACGAATGTTAGACCACTTGGACAACGCTTGTGGAAAGATTGTTCTTCGACTAAATTTCGCTAAAATAATGTTCATGACAAAAGGATTTGTTTCTGATGCATCATATTCATACTCAGCAGAATAAATGACTTAGAACTCCAAGTATATATATCTTGGTTAGAAAGTTAACATGACAAACGACCTAGCTCTAGAGCTGATTAGAATGGAACGAGGTGTTTGAGTGTTCAGGGTCATCGAGAACCTGATGTAGAGGAAAAGAAACAGTGAGTGCGTGCCCACCTTTTCGACTCCACAATTGTTCTTGCGTTAAAATGTGCATCAGAAACTTGCTCGCCGTGTAAGCAAGATGAAAAATCACTGAGCGCGCAATCGAGAGGACGATTCTAGGAGTGTTTCGTATCACGCAAGTGACGGAAAGGATCCGAAGTTCCGAAAACGTCGACGATCAGAATTAAAGACGCCGTTTTACATTCTAAACTGTCGAACATAAGGTGAACCGGGCACGTAATGCGTATGCACGAGTCCTATTGAATAAGAGCACTTACCGTCTGGATTCCTCGGGATATTAAATGCACAGCAGAAAGGCCACCGACTCGATGGTCAGAGTTCTTCATAAAAACACCGGAAGAACTATATGATGTTCAACAAGTTCCTAGAGCGCGCAGAACCCACAGGGCTCGCGACAGGAAAAAATCGAAAGTTTACTGGAGCCCACTCGATTCACTCGACGTTCAACGTGGCGGTACAGGTGATACCCTCTATATCATAGAGTGTAGTTGTTATTTTCATCTAAGTTTATACCTGTTGTATATTACAACATGTCTATTTGTAAATAATCATCGTGGTCATCTCGTTGCACATCCAGTGAGTCGTGGTAATTGGCTCACGTATTTGCCTCGCAGTTGACCTGCATTATGATCGTAAGTTCTTCACGAGCTAATACCCGTCCGATAGCTGGAAATTACTCACGCCCATCGCAGTACCAGTTGTCTTTAGACAACGTGTAGAGATCTCCATCGCCCTTCTACATCAATCTGTTCTCCTCTTGGTCTTTTCCGCGCATACTACCTTCGATTTGAATAGACACGTTAGCTAAGTCTCATACTCCTGCATCATCGACATATCAAAGTTATTCCCAATCCCCAAATAATCATTACGCTTTGTTAATTTAGCTCGTTTTAAATACTTAGAATGTCTATAAGTACTTCATCAGGGAGCGTATAGTACAGTGGTAGTGATGTTGGTCATCACGAGCACGCTACTGTTCGATTCCGCTCCCGGCTAACCAAGCTTCTCATTCCTCTGGAGTGGGTAGATTACTACCGGATTTGTCCGGGAAAAAATCGCTGTCTACAATCTAATCGGGAATGCTCTAGCTCTGCTATCTCAGGACTCTAGTGAGAATCGACTCGACCAGCCTTCTACGATACTCAAAATAAAATGAAATTCTCCAAGCAGTAGCCGAAGCCACACATAAAAGTTGGAATACGTTGGAGAATGCCGGATGTCAGGAAACGAATCAAATGTGAGAAGTGGTCGGATCCGCACAGTAAATGTGAAGACAGGTCGTATAAAACGGGCGAAAATTAAAGTGATTTTCTTCGTATTGACTCCGCAATGCAAGCCATATTCGAACTCCTTACACAACACGAAGGAGAAATAAACATGTATGGCTTCAGGATAGAGCACCTGATGGCACTCTTAAAAGAATGCTTGAGCTGCTCAATCTTCAGATTGTCTGGAAAGTACTACACTCAAATAAGAGGGTTGGCAATGGGACAACGACTGGCTGCAAGCCTTGCCATTGCATTTATGTCTAAGGTGGAAGCACGGGTGACTGATCACTGGCCGCTACTCTACTGTAGGTATGTAGACGACTGCTTTGTCCTTTGCTCAACACAAGAGGAAATGGACAAATGCTTCGAATTGTTAAACGCACAGTCAGAGTATATCAAGTTCACCCGAGAAAAGCCGAAAGAAAAATGGCTTCCATTCCTGAACGTACAAATTCACCTATCAGAAAATGGCTACATTACAAAGTGGTACCGAAAGCCAAGTAGTAAAAATATCTTGGTTCATTACCTCTCCTCTCACCCCTCTCACACGAAAAGGGCGCTTATAAGAAACATGTTTCGAACAGCAACCAACGTGTGCACGGGAAGAGAGCAGAGAGAGGAGTCCCGGAACTTGGCACGGCAAATAGCCGTTTCTAATGGCTACGAAACTGTAGCTCAGAATAGGTGTAGAGGAAATCGTAGGCCTCCAAACGTCAACTCTAGCGATAGAAGGGTCCCGTTTATCCTACCCTTCATCTCAAATGATATAAGTACAGCTATAAAACGCTGCTTAAGAAGGGCGGGCTTAGAGAATTCGGTGAGCGTAGTTGAAATACCACCGAGTAATCTTAAGCGCCAGCTAGTTCGTAACCGCCTATATGACCGTCTATGTGCAACTCAAAATTGCATAATTTGCCCCAGTGGTAGAGACGGTGATTGCATGAGGACGGGTATAGTTTATCTGATCTCCTGTAAGACGTGTGGTGACGAATACATTGGCGAAACGGGTNGTTCCTCTGTGTCCGCATGAAAGAACACCTAGCCGGCAAAAATAGACCAAATACCCCGCTAGGCACGCATAGGACCCAGAGACATAACGGGGACGACTTTGAAGTATGTGTCACGATCCTCGCACGCGAATCAAGAACACAGGCGCGAAAAACTCTCGAGGCACTCTGGATTAATTCCAGAAATCCGAAAATGAACCGCAGGGAAGAATGCCGCATTATCACGCGTGATATAGGGCAGTATATAAAACTGCTTTTCTGATGTGAGGGACACATTATACTTCCACGTGATTTCTGTGCGGTTGGTCTCTACGTGACATAGTGGAAACCTCATAGAAAGCGGTGAGTGTGCAAAGCTGTGTTCAAAGTGATTGAAATCTTGGTTTGGGGTTTCTTCGTTTGGTTATGGAGGCGTCTGGCCGAGTGAGTTGCTATCAACTTGACCTTTCCAGGCTCTGAAGAAGGCGAAATCCGCCGAAACGTCAGCTTAATCGTGAACAAAGAATAGTAACACGTCGCGTTTGCTCAACAAAAATACGAAGAAAATCACTTGATCAATACCGAGGTTAATAGAAAGTCGGTCGTGAAAATTAAAGTGTTTTATGGAAGCCACAATTTGTTTTTACATCACCCTTCATCAAATCCACTCTAGTACTTCTTGCATTTATCGTTCTCCTAGGTTTTCCAGCATTTGGCATACTAATGCTTGAGGATTTCCTCTTCGCTATGAATGTCATAGAATGCTGGTTCAACGGATTCTCTTTGCAATCTTGGAGATAGTCGAAGTAAGGCGCCCCACATGGATTGAGAGAGAACGTTGGGGAGAGTTTGAACCGGCGCTATGGACTGCATCCCTAGCCAATGCGTTAGCTTCTTCCTCCTCAAGGTCGCTACTGCCAGGTTAATTCATTTCTGTAACACTCCGCTGCGCCTCAAGCCACCAATGTTTGATGCATTTGTATGTGTGATTTATCCTGCCTAATATTTTGCCACTCAGCAGAGTCCTGTTCGTCATTGCTACTGAACTCGCTAGGTTGTTGTAGTTTTATCAATATTGTTATGTGGAGGTTTAATTGCCTAAGCTTAAACCTTGGTATCCAGCAAAGACAAAAAGTCCCGTGTGACAAATTTGTACGAAATCGAGCATTCCACTTCGAGCTACCGATTGTTCGGTTCTGTTAGCCGATTTTAAGAACTGCATTTCACTAAACCAAGTACTGAAATAACGAACGATGCTAAGTTATTGGCAACTTCTAGTAATTTTTTGGCAGAGGGCTTGAGCAACTGTGAACTTAATAGAATTATAGGAGAAATGTTGTTGTATCGTCATTATATCTTTTAAAACTTTCTCAGTTTCTAACTTCAAATCTTCACAAGTATTGAGAAATATGGTTTCAGGGTAAGAAGACATGCGTTTTCTTTAGAAGTGAACTCTAGATTTTGATGGTCCTTATATCAACTGGTCAGCTTGATTATGATCTGTTATCCTTTGATTATTTCTTGCTTGCTTGACCTCTTTCTCTCCATCGTTTGTTTTGATGTTATTGATATTTTGTATGATGTTAAGACATTTGCAAAACTCCGGACCGCAGGTGTCTGCGGTGGGGAACGAACACGATATTGTCCTTTCCGGGGAGTAACGCGTTCACCACCACACCATGCGGGTCCTTCGTTTCGTCTGTCTTTCAGCTAGTTCTGTCAATCTTTTTCCATCAGCAATCACCCGTCAACGGGATTGATCTGGGGAGTCCAAATCGACATTGAACCCAGTTAAGCTGAGGCTGTAGCCTATAATCACATTCTTAACCTTTTTATTTACTGCCTATTCATGATCGATAGAACTAGCTGAGAGATAAGCGAAACGAAAGGCCCGCATGGTGTGATTGTGAACGCGTTACTCCCCGAAAAGGACAATATCGCGTTCGTTCCCCACCGCGACACCTGCGGTCCGAAGTTTTGCAAATCTCTCAGCATTATACAAGTTATGTTTCGCAACATACCCTTTCGTTAGAAAAGAATAGGCAGTAAATAAAAAGGTTAAGATTGTGGTTATTGGTATTCTTCGATTCTCATTTGTTTTAGAGGTATTTTTCCCTCTTCATGTTGTATTAAAACTCTGTTTGAGTTGTTTCAACACTCATTGAAAATGCTCACTTCTGCTTAGAACCACATTAAGGTTGAGGTTTTCAGAAAATCCGCATTTACGCTTGCTCTCATCACACAAGTCGTTCTCGGTTTTCAGTAATGGGTTTGACGTCGGTAGAAACAACAATGTGCACGGTGTAAATAATAACTTTTGGTGTCGAGATAAAAAAATACCAAAAGAATAGAAACAAACGACGGCTTCCATTGAAGTGTAGGCGCTTATTTTCCCCAGACCTCAACCGTGGTTAGTTAGACCTCTGTCAAACATTTTTGACAAAATATTGATCAATAATTATTAGCAATTGTTATTATAATCATAACGCAACGAGTTCAACATAATACAAACATTATAAATACTGCCGTGGTCACTGTGTAGGGGTGTTATAGGGAGAGAGGAGTTACGCTAACAATCGGGAAGACCATAATGCACGACGATGGCTTACTACTTCTAATCAATGATAAATAATGCCAGTAAATCTAAAGGTATGGATGAATGTAGTCTCAACTGAGTGCTGAGAGAGAGGAATTAAATAGTTATTAGCTATCTTCACTTGTCCTCATGGAGAACGCGGAAACTGAAGACATTTGCAAGATCACCATGAGGATTAAGATTAGATTAATCTATTTCCCATTGACCTAGACTACTTCAGATGAGTTCTTATCAAAATGGCCTAGATGGTGCTTATTGGTCGAATTATGGACAGTTATCGAAAGTTCGCAAACGAGCCTGACAAGGGTGGATACCAGTTTATGCTCTGCACGCATGACTTGGGGACAGAGTTGTGAATTCACGATATCTGCTCTCTTTTAAAGCATTCACGAAAACGCTTGATATTCTGGGAACGCACAATGGCTGCCGAATAGCTCTCCGTCAATTTTGAAATGAATTAGTTGGTTAACGGGGATAAAGCTGTTACACACTAGCATTTACCACTTAGTAAGCCACGAAGTTTCGATGAAATGGGCTTTGTGACGCACTCCTCTGTGACCTACTAGGTCGACTGTAAGATCACCTTGCTTGGCTTTCTTCAGTTTTCGTAATCCGCTTAAATAAAAAATCGGTTTCACCAATTGTTGGTCAGCTGGCCTGAGCAGCTGATGACTGCAAATTTTATGCACTCTATAATCGTTTAGAGAGGGTAAAAAAAATCGTCACCATGCTGTTCTCTTGTTTTTTTAACGGCAATAAGTTTTTTTGAGAACGAAAAGCACCATTTAGCAATCACTGGACGACATGGGTCAAATGGAACATATCCCTCTCTTGACACCACTAGGGGATTTTGCACTTTATGATTAACGACTTCTAAATGCGGGCAATCAGATATTCATGGGAGACTAACAATTTGTATTTCACACCAATTAAACTTGCAAATAGTCGTTTATAACGACAACGACAATCTTAATGCCTTTTTATGAATGGTTTAATGCGTTGCGAGACGTTCTGCATAACAGCAGTAGAGCTGGGGACATTTTATTGAAATGAGCATGGAATGCAGAGGTCTAAGAATAATTATAGAATCGGACGCTTCTGTAAAAACTTCGGTTTAATTCTTCCACGTGATCAGAAAAACACGCTGTAAGGAAACCATTTCTACCCTTGAACAGTTACTAGTTGGTCTTTGTCAAAAACCGACAAAATACCTTTCGGTTTTGTTGAAGAATGCAAATGTTATTGCCGGTGCTCAGCTCGTAACTGAATGTGGTACTAAATTTATGAGAGTGATTAGAAGACAGAAAAATTCACCTGTGACCATCGTGCGCATTGAAACTGATTCGTAACTTGGAGTTTTCTTCTGGGTTCCCCACATTGTATTCCTTGACGTCTTTTTCCGAAGCCTTGAAAAACAGTGAAGAAATAGCGGTGAGAAACATATTTTATGAAAATGTGAAAAATCTTGGTGTTTCTTTCGATTCCCCACCAAGTCGCTTTTTACTGAACTCGACGATCTAGTAGCTAATGTCTGGGATTTATTAGCAGCGTTCGATTTTCCTTCTGGGGATCGAAAGCTGCAATATTTATCTAACACTTTATCTGACCTTTGTAGCCTTTGTAAATTGAGCTAGAAAACTTTTACCCACTTGTCAGGAATGCAATAAATGATGTGATCATCAGAAACTTTTAAGCCACGACTATTCAACTCAGCTATTGTAATTGGCCTAAATTGCATTACATTATTAAAAAGTTGGATATCATTAGAGCTTATAGTAGCGAACTGTATCAAGAGTAGGCTCAAAGTGCGTATCCTTAGACACATACTTCTCTGTATGTACCACCGAACACCACTAAAACTATGAGCATCTCCTACTGAGAAGGCACAATGGCGTGTCTCTATATTAGCAAGCGAGTCACTCATAGCAAAGCCCCTTATTTTTGCCGCTTGATAGCAGCAGGATTGGTACGAGCAGGACACGAAGCTTTCTCTGTGGTATAGGCTTATTCTTAGTTAGAAATCACCTTTGTGAAAAATGCTATGGACGTCCTAGCATGGATATCTGGGTTATAGAGGAATTTGCTTTAATCAGCACACATGTCAAGGAGAGAGGAGATGGTAGGCCTCGAAGTCAAAACCAAACCAATTCACGAAGCCAAAAACGATATGTTGAGATTCGCATGACAGCTGAACGAGGAGATCTAAAGGTCGAAAGAAGATACGTGAAAATTCATTTTTAACGGAGCAATTTTAACACTCACTCCCACTTAATAACTCATTTTGAAAAGGGCTTGATTCTGAAAACCCGTTAAGGAATGGTGTCGGAAATGGTAAATGTGTGCTGTACTGGCAAGCCGGTTTGTTCAAGTGTTAAGTGTTCTGAATTATCTCCAATGAAAAAATTAATTAATGCCAGCTTACTCTTCTTGTGCGTTCAGAACTTCTTCTTCTTTAGATTTTCCTCTCATATACGTGTGCTTGGGAGTATCGCGAGTAATCTTTCCACGTTTTAGAAGCGCGATTTCGTCGAGGTATCTCCTTAAAGGGGAGGCATTCATAGTTTAAAACTTTCTCACCTTAAGGAAAGAAAATAGAACCCTCTAAGGGCTAAACATAAGCTGAATCCATAACATTGGAGGTAGCTCTTACGAGGCAGATGGTATACTACAAGACGAGAGCGTTGAAATCGGGCTCTGATTATTAGGGTCCACCGGCACATCGTATTCCTGGTCGAGAACAATATCTGGTCTGTCGAATTAAATCCAAGAATTGAACAAAACCAATCAATCAGATCACACCATTTATTAGGTGTTAGGAGTTCTACACGAATAACGTATATTGTTGCTCACCTGGTTCTCATCCGAATCAAATTCGATCCTATTTTGCCCACATGTTCTTGTTTGGTGGCTTCGATTGGATTTCCTTTTTCCCTTCCTTCGCTCTACATCCATGACTGTCCCCGCTAGCTTATGTGGTGAGCAGACGACCGATTTTGCGGTGTTAAACACAACTGTGAACCACGCTTTGTATTCGAAATCAGAATGAATCCGTAGTTAAGACCACTTAAGGAAAACATTCCATATCAGAAGAAGTGTGCATAAATAATTTGGAATGAATTAATGTGCAAAATGGTCGAAATAAGCAATCCATTGGGAAATCACTATCACCTTTATCACCTCACATCTCCTTGGAAGGCTAGTAACCAGAGCGGGTGCCACTAAACCTCCTATCCCTCGTTGTCGCGTAGAAGAGTAGCCGACTCGGTTCTTCTTGCTGTAGGGAGTCGTTGAGGATCACATCTTCCTTCTAGGTTTCCGTGAACAACTCTAATCGTCGGGTTGGTGGTCTCCCAACGGTGCATTTGACATTTTGAGGTATTCAGTGGCTAACGGATCTTGTTCATCGGTTGTTGTTCACACGCATTACGTGTCCGGAACAACTTATCTTCAGCAATGTGGCACATAGAATGCTGTCTTTGATTTTTGATTGTTGATGTAGGTTAGTGCTACAGGTTTCCTGTGTTCTTGCGAGATACAGAATACTCCTAGTACCATCGTTTCGACTGCACGTTTTACAATTGAGTGATCTTTCACCCTGAGTGAGTTGCTTAAGTAGGAACCAATTTTCCGACGCATACGTTGAATATCGGTTTGTGAGATTTAGTCGAGGATCAATCTTTCTAAAGGCATCAATATCGGCAAACATCCATTGCGTCTACTTAACACATGCTGTTGTACTGGCAAGAAGATTCTTTAGTTTCTGATCATCGATCTTCACTCCCTTGTCCTATTTCAAAGTTCGCACGACATTCTGAAGGGTCGTAGTAAATAATTTTGACGAGATGTAATTGCATTGTCTAACCCATCTTTTCATGTCGATATTAAAATTGTTGTAAATGGATTTATTTTGATTGCGAAACTTTTACATAACTCACAAAGAATCTCTATATGCTGATTAGGGACGAACTGGCTATCCACGACTTTCATGACTGCTTTTATCTCAATTGAGTTAAAAGCTTTCCTTAGATAGGTGGAAGTGAGATAGAGCGGTTTCTTGTGCTCTCACGATACTTCTTGGAATTTAGCTATCATGTGGATCCGATCCATCATACTGAATCCATTTCGAAGCCCTACTCCCTTACATGGCTGTCCTTTGTCCAGTGTTCTGTCAATCGTCTTTAGGATGACGCGAGTGGAGAGTTTGTATAGACAGCGAGCAGTTTGTGCGATAGCTGCCGCAATCGTGTAGGTACACCCTTTTAACAATAACACAGTTTTGCCTGTCTTCCACTGAACAGAAGTTTTACGTAGTGACGACGTCGTCGTCGTATGTGAAGTGTCAAAAACCAGTGTTTTATTTTATTTTTCTTTTCTTTTTTTTGGGGAGGGGGGGGGGGGGGGGGGGGGGGGGGTGGAGGGGATGGCAGCTGAAGGTTCATCAGGTGTTCAGATCATATCCTTTCCGAACTAAGTGTTGCTCGATTGACCGACGAGCGTTTCGGTTTTTGGAGGAGAGAACTGGTGGGAGGACATATCCATCCTCCTTTATTTCGTATGAGAGCAGTGAAGGCAGGAGGGCGTGACAATTGAAAGCATCCGACTACTAACTTAGATGATTTGCTATGTTAGCTTTCTAAAGCCTGTAAGTCTTCTGTCTGGGCGTAACAGTGAAATCCTCTTGGTCTTGTATACAGTGAAGTTTCGCTGGCAAATGCTCCTTTCGGCCTGCGGAGGCTCTGCCGTAACTGTTGCTTTTCTCCCTTTAAGATCTTCTTTTATCGCCTCCCTGCACTGTTTTAATCAAGTTCGGACGTCAAATATCGGGTGCCTGTAGCCCGTCCAATTCCACGCTGGCGTAACAGCACGAGTGTTTCTGGAGATGGACTTCTCTTGGTGGCTGTCATACTCTTAACTTTCACACCCCTAAGGTGATGGTGTTTAATAAGCTGATCGAACTCCTCGTCAGTGTGAGCCGACTAGCGATCTGAATATTTCCCAGTTCATAGTGATTTTAGGACTTAGTTTTTTCTTTGTACGGCATTCTGTCCCTTCGGCGGCGAAAATAATCTTTCACGAAAGAGGCGATAATCTATACTGTGTAAAATTTCAGCAACCCAGTGACATCAGTTAAGCAAAACCTTTGATTTACCATGATCTGGTCTATTTTAATTCTTCTGGCTTGTCTGATCAGGTCTTCTATCGAAGACTCGGATGCAAGTGATCGTGTATTGTAGGTACAGGTCGTTCTTACCTTATCGTTACCTTAGTTCTTTGCGATCTAGGCAACTTAGAATGGTCCTGAGATTTTAGCAGCCTCTCCGTACTCGTCCTACCCAATGCTTCCATATCGGGAGTTCCTCGATGTCAAAGGGACGAGGCTCGTTTATTTTACCGTGTTTAGCTTTTTGATACTCACATACAGCTTGATGAGCATTAACATGGGGGCTGGGTATGATCACGGGTAGCTTGCGAGTATCTCGCAGAATAGACGGGGGACTTACTTGTTTAGGCCGACTCCTAACCCCATCCCATATGTTTCGCTGCCCACTTGATTGCAGGGTTTTGACCGAACCGACTCATAGAATACATTCTGCATAAACGAGAGCACTTCCACGGAAGTATGCATGAATACGTACTCTTCAACAGAGAAGGCATTTTCCAAATCGTAGCAGGAGGAACAGTGAGTCCATTTTCTATGTACCCTGCGTCTTAGCGAAGCAAAGTCGCTTTTAGTCTGCGATTAACCCTTGTCCATCGTCTGGGGATGCTTCACGTTGCTTCACGACTAAACCGGCGTGAGATCCCTCTATGAAGGAGGTCCGCGGAGAATCACTATGGGAAAAATCATCCTACTGAGTAGAAGTTACTTGTATCAGCTATCTTCCAGTTGGTCGTCGAGTTATTCGAGCGGGAGCCAATAAAACTTCTATTTTTCATTGTCGCATGCATGAGTAGCCAAGTGGATTCTGCGCGCTCTAGGAACTTCTTGAGCGTCATATAGTTCTTCTGGTGTTTTCATGAAGAATTTTGACCATCGGGCCGGTGGTCTTTCTGCTGTGCATCTGACATTTCGACGAATCCAGACTCTATGGGTTCTTGTTCAACGGGATTCGTGCATACGCATTACGTGCACGGTCCGCCTTATCTTTTAAGGTTTAACGTATAGAACGGCGTCTTTGATTTTCGATCGTTTATGTAGGATGGAGCTTCGAATCCCTTCCCTGGATTGTGACTCGGGTTACTCCTAGCATCGTTCTTTCGACTGCACGTTTAATAACACTGAGTGATCCTTCATTTTGCTTACGCAGCGACCGGGGTTACGAAGCATGTGTCAAGGCGGGAAGAATCGTGGAATTGAAAAGCTGGGCACGGAGTCGGGTGTTCTTTGTTCTCTTCACTACATCCTCAATACTCTTGAAAACTCGCCAAGCCGTTCGCTTCGCCCTGCTCAAGCTCAAAGAAGATTAAGTAAGCAATTTAATGCCGGAAAGTGATCGTAAGTGAAGAACGTAAGCCAAGTCAAAGCAGACATTGAAAAGCGTACACGATATTTAAGTGTATCGCAGAGATAGCAAGTAAATATAGAGTAACACATCTAGTTCTGTGCTATATCAACAATGTTTCGCTTTACCAGGTTTATTAAATCCTTCTTGCAATTGTTTTCGCTGTACAAACATTATGATGAGGAGATATTTCCAAAACTTGGGTACCAGGCAAGACCGAACTGCAATTACCCTTTCCCGGGTTTACGTGTTACGTACAACCCCCAATAAGGCCCTTACTCTGCCTTTCTCTCGGCCATTTTCTAACTAACGGTGCCATTAGCAATCACTTGTCAAGGTAGTAAACTGAGGAGCAGAATCGACATTTATCCCCGTTGAGCAGAGGCTGTAGTCAAAACCATATTGTTAACTTTCTATCTAATGCCTGTTATCATTTTTCACGTCAGGGTATGATACGAAATCCACTATGATGCTGAGATATTTGCTAAACTTGGACCCCAGGCCAGATTTAACCGCGATAACCCTTTTTAGGGACTCACATGTTATGCATGGCAATACTGAGTGCCCTTACATCATAACCTGCTGCGAAAAATAATAATAGGTAGTAAATAAAAAAGTTAACATTGTTTTCATAATGTTTGCTCATTTATTTTTGTGAAATTCTATACTGCCATCAAAGAAGAATCTTTTATGAACCATATCGCTTCTTCCCGCTTCTTATTTCGAATAGACTTAAAATAAAGTCTTAAATATGATTGTATTGTGCTCTTAGAGCGAAGACGCACACCCATGAGAAGCATCGCCAACTTATTAATTTTTGAGATTTAAGAGAAAATAGGTGCAGCGTTGAAGTAGGAGGTTGAGTAATCGTTCAGAATTCAACATTAACCTCACTGCTTGGTAAACAACATCCTGTCACCCTAAAAATAGTGTAAAGAGTACTGTGTAAAGAGGAACATCGGTAGGACCGTGGTACAAGAAATGCTTTCCAACAATTATTTTTGTCGTTCGATATTACTGAACCAATGACTGGAGTGGACACTATTCCGGGATCTGAACAATGAAAAAAACTTGGCCTTCCCTTGTTTAACTTCCGTGCCCATTTCTCCAAATCCTTTCCATAGACCTACTCGTTGACACTTTTGTTCATCAAGTTTCGTCCTATACACGGGAAAGTACACAGCGCCTGCTTTATATCTATTTCCATCGTTTTCCGA